GTGTGGCCAGCTCAGCCCACCAGGGGGCGGGGCTGGCTGGCATGTGGTGCTGGGGGATTGAACCCTGGTCCCTGTGCTTTGCTTGGCTTAGCTTGTTCTAAGTAGGTGCTTTAGACCACTGAGCCATCTCACCAGCCCCACTACTGCTTCTTAAACTGAGACAAAGGTACCATACTAATCACAGATGTTAATAAATAGGGGAAACTGGGTATGATATCGTTTAGCTCTATCTTCTCAACTTTTCTGTGAATTTGAAAGTATCCTAGGGCTGGGGAGAGATAGCTTGGTAGTCTAAGTGCCTGCCTGGCAAGCATGAGTTTGATCCCCGGTACCACATGCTGTGCCTGATGTGCTGTGCTGGTCCTCAAACTGGGCATGGTAGTGCACAACTGTAATCCCAGTGCTGGGGAGGCCGAGACAGGAGGATCACTACAAGTCTGACAGTGTAGTGATATCTTGTATCAAAACAAAAACACCAAACAACAAAAAATGAAAAAAACAAACAAACTTATCCTAAAATAGGTTTGCTAAAATAACAACTCTGATATTGTAACCAGCCCATATCATGCCTTAATGCTAATTTCACAGATCAACCTGATGAAATGACACACTCAGAACACACCCTGAATCAAGTCTGACTCTTATTATGGCTAAAGTAGGACTTCAGAATGTAAGTATTTTCAGTACTTAAAGTGCTTCTGTTTTTAGCATCCAAGCATTATAAGCGCCAGCCCCTCAACCAAATAAACAAAGGTTATAACACTTTCTCTAAAAGATCTTGCTACACACACAATTTCTAAGAACAAAGTTGCAGCTGTATTTCTGATGTTCATTAACAGCTTCCCACACGGATGAGTCTTCTTCTGGGCTGTGCGCTTACAGCAGCCCCCCCTCCCCCCACTCTCTTTGCCTGTCTGTTTTTGTGGTACCAGGAATCGAACTCAGGATCTTGTGCTTGCCAGGCAGGTGCCGTAGCTCTGAGCTGTATCCGCAGCATCCTCTCCCTTTGTCTTGAGACTCCTCTGCCTTAACTTTTTTCTTTGCTAAATCAACCTCAAATCTGGCCAGAAAACGTACTGTGCCTCACACCTTTACTAGTATCCTGCTGTACTGGAGCCACAGCCACAAAGACATAGCTCTGGGAAGAAGGGCTTTACTCTGGCAGAAGCAAGCTTTAATTTCAGGCACAAGGGAAGACTTATGTAATTTTTTTTCCTTTTACTGAAATTTTTCTCCCTTTACTATGTAGTTCTCAAAACAGGTTTCCTCTAGCATTTTAAGTTTTAGCTCCTTAGAGGACTGACCTGTCCAGGTAGCCACTGTAGTTCTGGACAGCTTCTGCTATGATGAAATTACAGCTTTTTGGCCTTTCAACTCTATCAAAACTGTCTATCTACTACTACTACTACTACTACTACTACTACTACTACTACTACTACTTTTTTTTTAATGACATGCTATATTTTGTCCAACTTCTCCCACACATTCTTTCTGATGGCATTATCATCACTGGAGGCAGACTCAAACCTACGCTGTCTAACTCCAAGTGTGGTGGTGCACGCCTGTAATCCTAGCACTTGGACGGCTGAGGTTAAGAGGATCGCTGGAGTTCAAAGTGACTGTGGGCTAAAAGCAAGTTCAAGGCCAGCCTGAGCTGCAGTGAGGCACTGCCTCAAAAACAAAATCAAACAAAAAAGAAATGCACTTGGCCATTTTCCTAAATACAAATACCTTATTTACTTTGCATCAGTGAAAATAACAATTATATTATAAATATCTGTCTCAAGTGGAACAGTTAATACTCTTTTTTTTCTTCCCCTTCAGTACCAGGGATTGAACTTGGAACCTTGCACTTGCCAGGTAGGCACTTAGACCCTGCTAAGCTATCTCCCTGGTTCCATTTGTTATTAAGCTGGTTGTTAACAGAAAAAGATCTTTAAACAATAATACACTTTTTTCTTTTTAAGACAGGTCTTGCTACGTAGCTCTAGCTAGCTTTGTAGCCCACGCTGGCCTTGAGTTCACGGCAATGCCCCAGTCTCAGCCTCCAACGGCTGTGCTTATAGGTTCATGCTACCACACCTGGGTAGTGGATGGTTCAAAAAAAGTAACCAGTTAGTGAGCAGAGAAGATGGCCTCTACTAGTATGCTGTATTTAGTTCATCAGAATTTGTTATCCCACTTGGTGGCAAATATCTCATTGAGATAAGAAGCACTATACTGCTAGTGACCAAAAAATGCATTTTTTTAAAGCACAGAAGACAAGGAGTAAGAAGAAAATTTTCTCAATTATATAAAATTCATTCCTACCCCTCTCCTGGGCAGACATTTACCTGGCATCTCCTGGCAGGCAAAGGTATCTGGATCTTGAGTTTCTTTCCTCTTTCTGCTTTTTGAGACAGGGTGGTTCTGAACTTGCTTTATGTAGCCCAGGCTGGGCTCAAACTCACAGGAATCCTCCTGCTTCAGGTCCCCAGTGCTGGGATTACAGGTATGTACCACCACGCCCATCTTGAAAGCACACTCTAAGAATACTCTGAGCACACATGGCTTGTCTAACTCCAAGCAGGTAACGTGGAATAGAACCTATTCCACACATTAAATCATGACAATAAAGATACCCAAGAACTGCTTTTATTATTTATTTATTTTCTGCGGAACTGGGGATTGAACTCAGGTCCTTGTGCTTGCCAGGGAAGCACTTATTCCACTGAGCCATCTCCCCGGTCCCCCAAGAACTGCTTTTAAAAGCACTAAAGAGAAATGTGTATCTCTGACACAGGCTTTGAGACAGCACTGATGACTATCTAACTCCAAGGTGTAAATAAAATTTTCTCCTGATAAACTATTTATTCCTTTTGAGATACCTGAAGAGAGAGTTTGGTTTTTTTTTTGTCTTTTTAAGCCAGGGTCTCGGTATGCTGTTCACACTGGCCTTAAGCTCACTATGTGTAGCCTAGGCTGGTCTCAAACTTGCAAGGATCCTCTTGCTTCAGCCTTCGGAGTGCTCGGATTACAAGCGTGCACCCCCATGCCTGGTTGCCTGAAGAGAGCTTTTTAAGCAGAGTAAGTGAAGGAGATCCGTTCACATAAGATAGTCTTTGCTATGATAATACTTTAACTTGAACACACATACCCCCCTCACCAAAATGAACTGTGTGGGCCCAACAACCATATAAACAGAAAACAAGTAACCTAAGAAAATGAAATACCTTACTATCCCAGTTATAATGGTAGCCTAAGGTCACCCAGCGCAGTTTTTCTAATAAACTTCGGGGTCTCCGTTTATTCAATTCTTTACACCTGCAAAGATTGGCAATGAAAGAGGATATAATCAACTTAAGTGGTGGCAGCAGCCCTTTGTATGGTCCCTTAAGTCTAAATTTAGTACAAGTTATCAGCCAAGGCTTGGTAGGGATGTAGGAACAAAAAACTGAATTCATCAAGAATACAGTAATAAGGGTGGGCATGGTGGCACATGCCTGTAATCCCAGCACTCAGGAGGCAGGTGGATCATTTCAAGTTCGGGACCAGCTGGACTACATAGCTCAAGGCCAGTCTGAGCTGCATACAAAACTACAAAAGTAACAGTACAAAACATCTTAGCCCCCCCTTTTTTTTGGTACTGGGAATGAAACTTGGGACTATGCGCTTGCAAGGCCATCATAGCATTTTTAATTTTCTTTCTTAGAGACTGGGCTCACGATGCTGCCCAGGCTGGTTTTGATCTTAGTACTCTTCCTGCTTCAGTCTCCTGCATGTTGTGATTACAGGAGGGCATCACCACATCTAACCGCATTTCTAATTTTCACATCTTTAGTTCCAAATCCTCTGCTAAGTGGGATGTAGCTTAAGTGATAGGTCTCTAGCATCTCAACAATGATAAAATAAGAATAACAGGGAAATGGGACCAGGGAGATAGCTCAGTAGAATAAGCGCTTGCGCCTGGCAAGTGCAAGGGCCTAAGTTTAATCTCTGATTCTGCCAAGAAAACAAAACAAAACAAAACAAAACAAAACAAAACAAAACAAAACAAGAGTAACAGGGAAAACGTGACAATAGAAATGTCTTTACTCTGCAAGGGGAAATGAGACTAACAGCATTATGGTCAACAGAAAATATGGCTAACAATATTTTCAAATTCATTTGCTGAAGATGGAGTACAATTAATCAGCTATTACTACATCCATAATGATGGTGGTTTTCCCAGAATTGCATGGTGGGGGAAAAGCTTGGCAAAATGTAGCGTGCAATCAAAAATAATTGGTTTAGGGCTGGAGAGATAGCTTGGCAGTCTAAGTGCCTGCCAGGAAAGTGCAAGAATCCAGGTTTAAGCCCCGGTACTGCATGCTATGCTGGCCATTTAAACCAGGCGTGTGTGTACCTGTAATCTCAGTGCTGGGGAGGCAGAGACAGGAGGATCACTGCAAGTCTGAGCTGTAGTCTAAGCTGCGTAGCAAGACCTTGTATCAAATAAATAAAAGAATGAAAAAAACCCCGAAAACCCCAGTTTAACATGACTTCCTCAACATACTTAAATGACTGAGACACCACTCTGCTAACAAGGCACCACTCATATAATTTAGTTTCTCATATTCCATCGTTCAAATCACAGGTTTCTGTAAACAAAGAGACAGCTCTTCTATAATTTTATTAATAATTTAATCTATGGGATTAACTAGTATTCTTCTACAGAGGAAGACTGGCTCATTTTTTCTTTTTTAAATGTGGTACAGAGTCTCACTACACAGCTCGGATTCATAGTGATTGTTTTTAGCCTTCTCAGTGCTGGGATTATAGGCATGTGCCACCATGCCTGGCCTTCCTTGCCAGCTCAGTGAGCCCTGGGGGCAGGGCCAGAGCAACAGGCGCTTAGTTGGCTAAGCTATCTTGCTGGCTCGATTAGTTCATTTCTTTTTCTTTTTTTGTATTTTAGGGAAGGGTTTACAGGATGTTCAAGGTCTCACTTCTAGATCGGACTCGTAGTGATTCTGTTTTCAGCCTCCCAAGAGCTGGGATTGTAGGCACTTTTGCACCACCATACCCAGTCTTAATTGCCATCTCAGTGAGCCCTGGGGGTAGGGCTGGCATGGGGGGGAACACACCCCTGTCCCTGCTTGCAGGTGCTTTAATCTGCTGAGCTATTTGGCTGGCCCTGACGGATTGGTTCATTTCTAAAATGAGTATGAATTTTTTCTATATATAATTTACATCACTAATCAAATTTACTTATTTATGTATTTGTTTGAGACAGGGTCTCGTTATGTAGTTCAGGCTGGCCACCCTTGAACTTACTACGTAGCTCCGGCAGGCCCAGATAAAATTATTTTTGTGGTAATAGGGATTTAACCCAGGACCCTGTGCATCTTAGGTAAGCACTATACAGTAAGACTATATCCTCAGCCCTGTCCATTTAATTTTGAGATGGTCTGGCTAGGTTGTTCAGACTGATTTAAACCTGTGATACTCAGTGTCCCTCCCAAGTGCTGAGTGAGCACTACCATGACTGGCCCAAAGGCAATACTTTTAATACTTTAATACTAAAGTTTAGTATTAAAGTGAAGAGCACAGACTTTCAGTGTTACTAGAATTAAAAAAAGGGGGGCTGGCCAAAAACCTTAGCAGATTAAAGTGCCTGTTTAGGCAGATGCAGCAGCTGGTGTTCGATCCCTGGCCAGCCCCACCCCCGAGGCATGCTGAGATAGCAATTGAGACTGGGTGTGGTGGTGCACACCTGTAATCTCAGCTCCTGGGAGGCTCAACACAGGCGGATCACTATGAGCCCGATCTATGTAGCGAGACCCTGTACTTTAAGAAAAAAAAAAAAAGGGCTGAAGAAAAAGGGGCGCTCCAAGACAGTTGTCTAACCAGTTAAGGCTTCACAGTTACGCTGTGGTGCATACGAAATGAGACAATGGGCAGCATTTAAACAACCAGTGGTGCAGTAGCTACATGGGTGCACAGGAAAGCATAAGTGAAGGATTTACTGCAGGCCCACACTGTAAGTGACACTCATCTTGATGTGTGACAAAGAATTTACGCAGTCGATGCTACCTGCTCTCACTGAATTCACATTCTAAGGCTATCACCACAGACATACATCAAGACTAGCAGATAAGCGGAATGGAACAAACACTGTTTTATTTAGGACAGGTGTGGATGAGAGATAAAAGCAGACCTGGCTGCTATTGTTCTGAGGAAGACCCTTGAACAGCATCTGGAGCCTGGAGCTGGGAGGTGCACAGAGTTCCCTGAACTGCTAACAGTGGCTCAACCTGCAGATACTATGGCTTCCAACAAATGACTGCCTTCCTTCTAGTGTCTGTGTCTGTCAGAAAAGGCAGCTTCCATGACCAGACGGGGGTGAAAACCTGGGCATTGCATTTCTCCGGCACATATATCATGAGACGTGGTCATAACTCACTGCTGGAGGATTAAGCAAGTCGTATGTAACTTCCTGGAAGTCTGTACCAGATTTTCCCTGGACTTTTGCTCCATGTGCCTTTTCTCTTTAGTGATTTTGATATATATGCTGTCACCCTAACAAATCTTACCTGTGAGCACACACTGAAGTCCTTGAGTCCTCCTGGAAAAATCACTGAACTTGGGTGTGGTTTTGGGGACTGGCAACACAGTGCAGATGGTTGACCAACAATTTAGACAAAAAAGTTATGTGATGCCTGGCCACTGACTGCCACTACCTAATCCAACCAGTTCCAACAGGGATAATGTCCATGTACTGTTTAATATCCCTTTGTGTAACAATTACGAAAAAAATATGGCAATGTAGTTATTAATACAACTGGAATTCTACCAAAGTTTATTCAGCTAAAGGTATAAAACACATTAATATTTTCCTCCACAGAACATTCTCTTTCAGCAGCCTGAAATACTTCTTACTTTTGGACTTGAGGATTTTGTGGTTCATGGAAATTTTTGTACCCAATTCCTTTATTTAAAGGCAATCAACCTCAGATGGAAATGCTACTGAAAAGGATGACAATTTTATAGATACTAAGGGGTCTTCAGCGGGAAGGCTGAAGTCAGTAGCGTGAACACCGGAATCTGGGGTTGAGTACAGCTCATGTCCTGAGCTTTAGATGGTCTAGAGAGGAGCCATAGCTTCCTTCTGTAGAACCCCTCCGCAGCTAGTGCAGTGGTGGCAAACACCTGGTGCATGTGTTGGAGCTGGCTGTTATCACTGAAGCTCTACAAGGTTGGCTATCATTGGCCTAGTGGTTCTAAAACTTGAATGTAGACTGGAAACACCCTATAGGGCTTATTAAATCTCTGGTGACTGGGTTTGCATCTATAAATTCTTATTAAAGAGATTTGAGGTGAAGCCTAAGAATCTGGGATTTTTTTAGAATCTCTGATTTTAGTAAGTTCCTTAAAGATACTGACACCACTGGTCCGGGACCAAACTCTGAGATCCACTATTCTAGACAAAATGAAAACAAAACAAAACACCTCTTTCTAGCTCAATAATATATCATAGTATTCTTCCTTTGTGGTACTGGAGATTGAACTGAGAGCCTTGTACATGCTAGGTGAGCAATCTATCACTAACCTAAATCCTCAACCCTAGATCATTGTATCTTTTTTTTTTTTGCGGAACTGGGGATTGAACTCAGGCCTTTGCATTTGTCAGGAAAGTGCTTATTCCACTGAGCCATCTCCCCGGCCCCAGATCATTGTATCTTGACAAAAAACCCATAATATGTCAAAACCAGAATACCTCAACCATAGAGATAATAATAATTAAGATTTAAAATCATTTAAAAG